TATATTCTCAGCTGTAGTGGTTGGGGGGAAGGGGGGAGGTGGAGGGACGCAGTGGCGAGGCTAGTCCGCGCTCCATGAGCTTGTCCCCTCTCATACTTCACGACTGAATCGCGTAATTTGGAAAAATCGCGCGACTGCAATCGATCGTGCTGCATCGCTTATCGCTGTAAAGAATTGGAAGATGTTAAATTCCAAACGCGATTGAGTTAATGATTACACTTGTCCAACGGTTACCGGTGAAGCTTGGAGATAACCAAAACTTGCGAATAAATAGCTTGGTTCGCGAAGTATTAGCGTAGCCTCGAGCCGAGGGCATAAAAATATGCCGGAGGGGGGGCACCTGGCCGCGCTTTTATGTCCCTTTCCTAGAGCAGTAGCTCAAAGCTAAAGCGCAAATGACTCAAGCCTTGTTTGGGCAAGGGGTATCAAGTGCCTTCCCTCCTAACTGCGCTAGTGCCAAGCTGAGCTTGTTAGCTGAATGGATCACTGTGGTAGAGCGCAGCATGGACGAGCAGACTTAGTTGTAACGTTCCTTCTTAACCGCATTAGCCCTCAGGCATTGTTCACAGTCTGCGACCTAGCGTTTCTCTAGAAAGAAACGTTTCGATACTTATCGATTGGCGGTTGGGCGACGTCTCAGGGCACTTGTCAACCGGGAAGCCTCTCCTCTCTTTCCTTTTTTCTTCCTCCTTCCTTCTTTTCCTTCCTTCCTTCCTTCTTCTCTGATCCCTCCTCCTTTACCTTCTCCCTTCAACTACTGGACTGGTAGATGCCTCGTGAAAATAGCCCTGGACCCTCGCAGCGAGAGCACGTCTGGTTGACTGGGCGAAGAGTCTGGCGGTTGCGCGAAACGGTTTTGATACGGGCGGTTCGGCGGAGCGGTTGGGCGAAAAACGCTAGCCCGACCGCCCTGGCGTTTTTCTCTAGGGCGGAGCCAGCGAAATCGATACGCATCTATTGCTTTTCGCCGAACCGCCGAACCGCGGCGGCGTTTCTCCAGAGCGGTTGGCGATTCTCCGATCAATACGTATTTATTGCTTTTCGCCGAACCGCTGTTTCGTCAGGGTCGCAGACTGTGAACAATGCCTAAGCCTTTTTTCTTGACATTTCGTTCGTTGAAGTCTGTTTGAAGCGATAGCTTGCGAAGATATAGGTGCTAATTGGGGGCATACCTGTAGGTCTTTTCAATGTATGTCTTTGTGTTTGTTTTTCTTTTGTCTTTCGCAATCGCGTCTCATCCCAAGTCCTGTTAACTCCTGTCAAGTACCGTGTGAACTCCTGTTAAGCATGACGAAACGTCACTGGAACGTCATGTTTCCCAATTTTTTTTCCAAATCTTGACCAGTCATTTTGAAAAGTCTGACAGGAGTTCGTTTTGCGCGCACTTGGCGTCTAGTGTGCGACCTCTCCGGCCCGCAATTACGATGCGTTCACGCAGATAGAATCGAAAACAGGCATTTAAGGCACGCGAAAACAGTAATACAGTGTCTACGGGGTTTACCATGAAGTACGGTGCTCCATTCGACAGTGTTAAACACGAGTTATGAAACCGCCGCCATCGCCGGCGGGCGTGCGATGGATACGATCCTCTTTACCGTCTTCCGCAGGTTTGACAGGTGATAACAACGCTTACAAGATCTTGACAAGTTTTTCCGGTACCTCGATGTATACAGTTTGAGGGTTTGGTATGCTGAAAACTGTTTGGTGGGCTCCGCCCTTCCCGGTTATTAGCGCTTAGATATTTTCTGTTGTCGAGCCATCTTCTTTCGAGCCCGAATAAGGAACTCTTGCTCTGACTTTGATGACTTTACTCTACCACTTAGAATTTTTTTTTCTTTTGACCGCTATTTATTAGGAGTATGATTATGTCTTCGACGTCACTGTAGACGATGGACGCAAACTTCGGCTTCCCTTCAACATGGATGAGGATCCTGATGTAGCAGCTCAGCGATTTGTCGAGAAACATAATTTACCGATATCGTTCTTAGCAAAGGTATCCCTCGATTTCACAGTATGTTCGCTGTGGACGCTGGGGCGCGTTTAGAGGGCGAGCCGGATCTGGCCGCGGCACTAGCATGTTCTTTTAGCAATGTGCTGGCGCCTGCCAGCTTTACTTATTGGTGGAACAGAGCTGTCCAAGCCGCCGCAACCCTCTCCATTCCTCTAAAACACCCAGCGTCCGCAGGACGACACTGTAACTTAGTTCGTTCATTGTAATTGTCGTTCATATATCCTTCACGCACACTCAGGTATCAGGTCTTCTGCGCTCTCAGACAGGCGCAGGTGTTTCGTCGTCATCTAGTCAGCCATTCTATGATCCATTCACAGGTAAGTCAGATTTTTCGACTCACAATCAGTTGTATAGGCCGTGGTGCATTTACAGAAAAAAAAACTTTCTCCTGTGCAGGTAGTGGTCGCTATATTCCTGGACAGTCATCTGAAGCGGCTTCTCCAGCTAGTGTTGCAGATCCATTCACAGGTTCCGGACGATATGTGCCTGGAAACTTTGGAGATGCCCCAGCGCCAGCTGGTGGGGATCCTTACACGGGCTCCGGAGGGTGAGCGCACCACCACGAAGTGTTCTTTATAACATTTTCATGTAGCTGTTGTTTGTAGGTATAAACCTGGGTCTGTTTCGGGCGATCTGATCCCCAATGCATGTCTTCCACAAGATAAAAAGAAACCTCGTGGAGAACTGGTACCTATGTCACATTATTATCGATTTGGCGTCGAGCAGCTGAGCACAAAAGCTCATGCGAAGCTGGTCGAGCTCAATGAAAATCAGCCGGTATTGAGGTTGAGCGATGTCCAGGTGAGTCTGGTTAGCATGGTTAGCTTGTAACGACTTTACTAATTTTTGGTTCAGATTTCTGCTATCAAACAATTAATGTCACCGGGTAGTCATGCCATTGAATATGATGTTGTGGCAGCTGCTCTCGATGTCGGATTGCAATGGGCCATGGGTGATTTGGTCCCGATTCTGGACGCTTTTCGTGTCGCGCTTCTTCATGAGCGACTTAATTCATATTTCTGTGATATGAAGGTATGTGGATGCTGTTTTTATTGACTCAGCTGTTCAGTTCCAAGCTGTGATCGGAATTTAGAATCTGGTGCTGTTTTGCTTGGGAGGAGCATTCTGCACTTTTGCTAGTTCTTTGTGGCGGGTCCAACTTTGGTGAAACCTGGGAGCTCTTGTGAACTAGCGGAATGGCACATGTGAGCCACTTGGGTTACTGGAGTTCACAGGTGTTCATGGCCTGTACAGACTTCGCGGGGTACTACCAGTACTGCTTACTGCTCCTGCAAGCCGAATCGCGCCAAGGAATCCCGTGTAGCAATTCCACATGCTGTGGGGTTATGCAGTATCTCACAGCATCTCGAAAAATTGATTTAACATTCACTTTGCGGCGATTTGCGAGAAATAATAGACCATTTTCTGGTTAAATGACTCGGCATAGTGCAGCATTCACGTTGAATCAGCTAGGTCCTGGTACGAACACTGCGCACCTCTCCGCCTTCATGCACGTTAATAATCTTCTTGAGCAGTGGGGGGTGCAGTGCGCACTATAAACGCCTGCAAACCTACCCAAGTTCTGTAAGTTGTGCACAAGTGAATACCGGACAACCCTATCCGTACAGTGCAAGACTTGCTATCACCTGTCAGGGATCCTGGAACTCCTGTCAAACGAGTGAAAATGACTAGTCAAGATTTGGAAAAAAATGGAGAACTGGCGTTACTATGACGCTCGTACCGCTTCGCCATTCTTGACAGGAGTTTGGGGTACTTGACAGGAATTAACAATACTTTCAGAATTGAGACATGATTATAAAGAAGCGAAAAGTTCATAAAAAAGCTCACAGTTGTGGTCACCCAGAGGCTATGAGCGTCCCTTTTACTTACAAAACCTTTCATACATGTTGATATTTTGAGCATCCAAAAAAAATCACCATAGCTGTATTTTCCAGGGCAGAGGCGAAGGTACGCAACAACGTCTGTGTGCACTTCTACTAAGTGAAGCTCCAGATGCAGTATGTATTTTGGTGTGTCGATCATTAGCAAACGCCTTCGTTCATCCTTGTGGACGCGATATGCTTTGCCATGACTTCCAAAATCTTTTCGCGGTAGTAGTGAATCAATTGAAGACCAATAAGGCAGCTCTTCAGGTAGGTTACGTCGCTTTTCTCATTCAGATTGCTACTGTGTGGCTATGAAGTTGACCTGGTTCCTTTTAGTTAGCTGCCGCTTCTACACTTGCTAACTGGAGTTTGTTATTATTGAATCGATCAGAAACCGTTGCGGAGTTGGGACCAAGAGAGGACGCGATTCGGGGAATAGTAAAGGTAATTATGCGGTTACAGATAGTATTTTGAGGTCTTTTCGAGAATACCTTTTGATCCTTTGTTTGTAGGTTTGCGAAACCATTGATTCATTTGGATACCTTTGTCAAGACAGCATGATTAGATTATTGCAAGCAGTTGTTACGTTTATGTGGGGAGATACGTCGGTTATCAGTGTAAGTACCATTTCGGTCGTTTATTCAGGGGAGCGCAACTATAGGATACTGACTAGAAAGGTAAACGGTTGGCTCTGATCCGGATTCAGTACTATAAGAGCTGGCTCAAGGGTGTCTATTAGCATTCAGTTGTGGTGACACGACGAAAGCGCTGTTGACAGCGTGTGAAACCAAAGCCTAATTGCTTTGTTGGGGAAATGCTACGCTGGTCGAGTCAACTAGCTAGAGAACAATAGCTAGTTTGTTCACGTTGCAGTGACGTGAATCTTACAGCCGACGTATGCGGTCTATGGATTGTGGGTCCTAACAGTATTTAGTCGATGCCCTATGGGCAGGTAATTTGGTGAGAGGGACAGATAAAACGGGTGAAAGGAGGAAATGAATTTCTTTGCTTTAACTGGATTCCTCAAGATCCTCGAAGGTTCTTCACGCTTACTTTGTAGTGGATGAGGATTTTTTCGGTTTTTTGGTAGCTGAGCAAGAAAATGAACCTTGTTTCATCGATCCCTATCTCTTACAAGGGAGGTCTTTCAGGTCGTGGCGCGCTTTTTGGAAATGGTTTGTTGCTTGTTGTAGGGGTCCATACAAGGATCACAAAAATGGGTTTCATTTTTGCTATGCGTTTCTGGGGAGGTCAAAATTGAGTGAAAAGTATTTGACAAGAATGGGCGATTTTAACTGTCTTAATGGGCTCCGTTTTGATTGTGACTTCGAGCATGCATAGTCTATGAGGTGCTCGTTAATTAGGCTCCGAAACAACTTTAAATAAAGTCAAAATATAAGTATCATGTACAACACACTTGGCATGCACCGACACAACAGTGATGTTTTTGTTCCCCACATGCTCACTGTCGGCGGATGGGATGGCGCAGCGGATAACTCGATGGATTCTGGACGGGACAACGATACGGGACTTCGTGGATCGTATCCTCCTTGCGGCACCTCATAAACTATGCATGCTCGAAGTTACAATCAAAACGGAGCCCATTAAGATAGGCAAAATCGCCCATTCTTGTCAAATTCTTTTCACTCAGTTTTTGACCTCCCCAGAAACGCATAGCAAAAATGAAACCCATTTTTGTGATCCTTGTATGGACCCCTACAACAAGCAACAAACCATTTCCAAAAAGCGCGCCACGACCTGAAAGACCTCCCTTGTTAGGCTGCGTTCATACTTTGTGACCCGGTGTTTTGAAAGAGTCAGCGTTGTGAGTGAAAAGGATAGCATAGGTGTCGATCGGCGCCGGATTCTAGCATTTTGGAAGTCTGCGTTTCAAGCGCCGATCACTACCTATGTTTTCCTTTTTCCTAACCACGCTGATTCGCTCAAAACGTCAATTCGCTCAAAAAGCTGATTCTCCCAAAATACTAGATCAATACCTATGCTTTCCTTTTCGTTCAGAATGCTGTTTTGCTCAAAGCGCTGATTCTTCCCAGACTAAGGTAAGTCTGAACGCAGCTTTACGCGGCTCTAGGTAGACGGGAGAGGCTTGCGGCGGCGCGGCTGTCTGCCATTGCGAGTCTCCCCATCAGAACAGTTGTTCCTGCTCCAACAGGTTTAGTATCAGAGAGCGCAGATGATCAGGATGGCTGATCCTCTCTCGCAGCGTCCTCCCACATCCCCACTTCCTTGACAACTTCTACCCTTCGTGACGCTTTTAATTAGAGCCCGCATCTTGAGAAGAAAGTTTTCCGTAATGTGAACTGCATGTTTTTTTGAGCTTCAAAATTTCGTTTTTATTGACGAGTTTAATTTCAGCTGGCGAAATCGAGGAATATGTTGCAAATTGTGAGCAGAATGAAAGATGCAGTCGTGGATGAGCGAGGCAAAAACATTGCTCGTGACATCGCAGAGATGATCTATGCCATTTAACTTTTCTATCTTTCATCGTACTTGTACAATTAGTTTGTACTTGGACCCTGCTTGTACACCCTCGTTTATTGTTCTGTTGTCTGGTGAAAAATACGGAGATTTAATGTGAGTGTGTCTTTAACTAATGATAATTAATATGTATAAAAGATTATGCTTTCTAGTTGTTTACTGTCATTGTGAAACCAAAGTTTGTCTTCTGGTACTTTCCATGATACCGTAAGGCAGCGTTCAGACTTCGTGTAATGACGCGCGTCGACTGGCCACGGCTCTCCAATGCTATAGACGGGAATACAGCCGCAGACGTTTATCGATCGGCGTCGGCTGGTGTACTTTGAGAGAAAGTATAGGAGGGTAGGCGTTGTCTTACAGCCTGGTGTCCTCCTATTCTCCTATACTTTGACAAAACACCAGGAGCCGGCGCCAGTGATTTTAGAAACTTTTTCGCTGGGAGGACGTAGACGAGCCGGTTTACTCGCTCCGCCACGAACCTCAGAGTTTTTATTAACCGCGAATCCTGATGACCCAGCATTTTGTAATGTCGTCTGTCCCATTCCACATACCACGATTCTGTTGTGTCTCTCCCTTTCTTATTCCCCTTTGAAAGCCTAAGCCGCCCACCACTGTGTTGAGGAAAAAAACCACTGCATCTTGGACCTTTGGGTGAAAAAAAATTTGTTGCTTAATAACTGCCTCTTCTCTCCAGTAATATTTTTTTAGTGGCCGTTCGATGTCCGACGAAGAACCCAGTCGAATCTCAAGATCGGTGCAGTCCGATGATCGACCGAGTTCTTCGGGAACAAACCGGCTTTTCGTGGCCGAAGAGGTACGTCTCTTTACGTTTCCTACTTGCCGCTAGTCCTGTACCTATTGGAAATATGTGTAGTAGAGGCAGGGAGCGGTTTCCTCCTGGCATGAGGGTCGCGTTCATTGCTTTGCGCGCACTTGGAGGATCCTCTGCTAACTAATGGATACAAGATGATCGATTTGACTCGGCCTATCGGATAACTGGACGTTCAAGAAAAAGAAGGCCATACATATCGGTCGGAGTCCGCGAATTGGTTCTATCTAAGAGTGCGTCCATACTTGCGTCAGCGTTTTGAGCGTACGCTTGATCGGTACCTGTGCCTTCTTAGCTGCTGAAAACGTTCAAAGCGCTGACGCATAGTAATAACGCACTCTTATGGTTTATGCCGATTCTCTACTCAGGATATCCAGATCAGTCGACTCGTATTTGACCGTTTTCGCTGATTATCCGATTCTCCATTCCCATAATGTTTGAATTCGGCCCGGCGTTCACCTTTACACAGCGGATAACTTTCGGAGCTCGAACTTCGGTACTCAGCAGCAGTTTTTGATTTTCCTGCGTGGTAGATTGCACCATGATCTCTTTTTTGTTCCTTATTCATAAGACTCTGGAAGAGTACATTTTACTATGCTTTTTTACAGTTTGCGCGCTCTTTACTGGGTTCAGTGGAGAAGTTTCACATGCATGCGAAACACCGTCAGTCAAATGTACACGTTGTGAATGTGCTGAATTTGATGCAAATTGGCGGTGCTTCTGGCTCGTCGAAGATCGACTATGATGTAGTTCGTTCGCTGATTCGTTCGGTATGTTCTCCTTCAGTCTGAGTGTGTCCTGTACCTTCCAGAAATCCCGTTTTCACTGCAGTTGTACTAGAGGGGGCAAAATTTTTTAGCTGGAGACTTTCACCCTATTTATCCGTTTTATTTTAGCAAACAAGAAAATACTCGCCTTCGGAAACCTTTCGAATACGTGGTCTGGCTACGTACTCATGGTAATTTATTATAATATTTGCTGTTTTTCAACTAAACGCAGTTATGCAATTTAGCCGACGGCTGATAATGCCTATGTCTCATCAACTAGTCTCGATGGATTCGCTGCGCACTACTTCCATCCTGGGCCTGGATTTCTCCGAAAGAATTGTTAGCACTTTAATGGTCGAGTCTCAGCCACCACGAGAAGTGAGTCTTCTCTGAGTCTAGCTTTTCATGATGCCGAAGTTGCCAGACGGTCTTAGCTATCGACCAAACTCACCGTTCGGTTTTTCATTAAAGGGCGCAAGCAAGCAGGAAGGAGAGGCGGTTTTATTATGCTGTCTACTGCCCCCCCCCCCACCCCTCGAGCTACATTAGCACCATTTTCTTCCCAGGTTTCGCCATTCAATTCATTCTCACTTCTGTTTCATGAGGGAACTGAGCATAAATTCATCACGATTCGTCCCGAGCGTTAGCGCCCAGTGATAGCTTGATCACCAGCCTGGCCCTCCGAGCATCGACGAGGGAACTGCTCTGTAGCGCCGGCGGAAAGCGGTTCAAGCGAGTATATGTGCTGAAAGGGCCGCTGGCGATTCAAACTGCTTCCGACGTCGGCGCTTATGCCAAGCTGGTGATAAAACTACCATTCGTGGGGGCAGGTTTTCTGCAGCTCTCGTTCAGTTGTACTGCCACTGTTGAGTTGTACTGCCACTGGAGTCTGTAGTGTGAGCGCTGAACATTTTTTGCACTTGTGCTGGGTGATATTCTGTTTGGAGGTCTGATAAATCTGATAATCCAATCTTAAGCTGATACAGTTTTGTTCGTTGCGGAAGGAGGGGTGAGTTAGGCGGTATGAGTTTGGGGCGGCGCTGAAGACAGTACGGTAACTTCAGTAGGCGAGAAATCATACACCGTAATCCAAAGGAGCCGTAAATAAATCTGGATGCACACCAAACACAGTATCTCACGACAACAGCGTAGAAATCGCTTGGGGAAGTAGTTGTTGCGATGCTAAGGATATCCAAAGGATTAGAACTATTGCATGTGATTAGAACGATTGCATGGAGTAGTGCTCGTAAGAACTATAGGTCCGTTGGATGCTCCAATAAATCATTTTTCTATTCATAAATGTACTTGTATAATTGGGTTTCAACGGCACTCATCAAAAATAGTCCGCGTTGGGTCAGAATTTCTCATAGCATTGCGGCGGAGTCTTTACACATTACTGAGAGGCATCTTGTTGAAGCATTTTCCAGATGGAAGTGTCACGACTTTCGCGAAATTGATTAAAATGGTACAACAAAATAGTTTTGCATGTTTTCTCCTTCACAGGTCACGCAATGCCCTGCTTAATGCTTGAATGCGTTGATTATGATTAATGAAAAAATGAATGCGATGCTGTGATTAATGCCCTGCTTCTTTCCATGTTCAAGTAGTGGTTTCAATTAGCCACATTCTTAGACATGGTTCTGATAACAGTATAGCCTCCTTGTCTTGTGTTTATCAGTGCCTGCTTGCTTCCTGTTGGTTTCCTGCGATACGAGGAATGATGACATGCATAGTTTTTTTGAACAAAATACAGTAGTACGAGATACGAGATCCATACTCAGCTCTGTCATCGCCACGATGGCCATGACCCTCTCCCCCTAATCCCCGCATCCAACTCTTCGAGGCGGTGACAAAACTACTTGAACTGGGTTGCGGTGAGCTGCATTCATAATTATCGTCTGCGTTCGAGCGTTTTGTGCAAAAAGTAAAATTAGCTATCAACTTAGCGTTTTTAATCTTTTCAGCGGAATGCTAGCATTGTATTATTTCTACAAATAATCCCTGTTGTAATATTTCGATGGAATCTCAACACACGAGATTACCGATGCTTTGAAGGCAATGGGAGCGTTTTTTAAACAGGAACCAGCGCTCCCGTTTAACAGCTATGGCGGGGCAAAGCTGGGCAACATCCGTCCATGTCGAATTTGGCAGCAATGGACTAAGCATAAATGGTGGGGATAATAGAGTGAACGTGAAGCGAGTCAGATTTCGTAAGAATTGTTTGCCCGGGCTATTACGACACCATTCGCGTGAAGTATGTCGTAGTGTGTGCATCCAGATTTATTTACGGCTCCTTTGGATTACGGTGTATGATTTCTCGCCTACTGAAGTTACCGTACTGTGGCTGTCACCAATCAAGTACTAAAATCAAGTATCAAAACAGTGGTTGTGTCGTG